AGGCAAGTTCGGGGCACCTGCGTTTCGGGTTTTCCAGTTTTTCTCGCTTTGCCAAATAAACGTGCGAAAAACGCAGCCAAAACGAAAAACTAGACATCTGGAAAGGACTCTATGTTGTAGGTGCCCTCCGAGAATCGCAATATGTCCTGCGAAAAAGCACTGCGAAAACCGACGAGCTACACAGTGAAAAAAAAAATTACAATATCAAAAGTTAAAATATGTAAGGCAATGAGGACGGAACCGAAAAATAATATTATATTATATTAATATGCATTTAAAACAGAGCTGGGAATCATTTTAAAGCCGAACCATTTCGGAACGGAAATTAAATAAAATTGTTATAAATATTTCTAAGACAAAACTTCATTAAAAATCCCAGGCTGAAATCAGAGTCTTGTTCTACTACTTGTACCAAACCTTTGTCAAAATTATTTGAGTTCAAGCCCTAGTTTAAGTGATTTAAACATCAATCAAATCAATATAATCATATGAATAATTACGAGATGTAAAAGCATTTAGGGAAATATTTAATAACGAGTATTGTGCATAATTTATTTGATGTGTAAATCATTTATAAGTGTACGCCAGTTATCCAGCTGGGGTTATGAAAACAGTTAGCTGACTTGGATGGTTGGATGCATTCCAGCTGGTGTTATTTCAGGGGCCCACCCACCATTCCCCCCATTTTCCCCATTCTCCATTTTCCCCGCAGCGGGAAAAGCCCGTTCCGATGGGGGAGGGAAATGCGGTGGGGTCGGGATGGAAAAGCAGTCGCTGGCATTTTGCGAAAAGTGTGCCACAGATTGTAGCAACTCACGTGCATCCTGAGCAACTTTGCAGCCGTGTGTTTTTGTGGCAGAGAAGGAGGCTGTGGCAAGAAGGGGGAAAAGGGGGTGGAGGTGGAAGGCTGGGGTTTCCCGATGACGCCTGAGCCCCATATTTTGCACTTTGACGGCTGCCAAGCCAACACGAACGCACCCACACATACCCAAACACACTCACGCATACCCGCACACACCCACACACCACCCACACTGAGTGCCAAAAGTAGGAGCTCGAAAAGTGACAGCGAAAAGAAATGATTTTTTAGGGGCTTAAAATGAAATTTGCCTGTGGCCTCGCCCTAAACCCACAAACTTAAAGGTTTGAGTTGGCTTAAAGGATCAATTCCTTGGATGGCTTGGCATGACTAAGCTCTAAAATAAATTATTAGTGTTCATAGTACATAATGAGATAAGTCGTGATGCAGATAGAAAGAAAGTACTGTGAACTGGAACAATTAATATATAATATTTATCAAAGTTTGTAAGGAACCAAAATAATAATAATAGAAATGGGATTCCTCCTTTTTAGAAACATTTAAATTGCAATGCTGTGCAGCTAGGGGGATAAATATACCCAAATTTCGGGGGGGAACACACACTTATTGCCGCCACTGTTCGGTGCTAAACACATATTTGTGTAGATGAGTGCGGTGTTGTGTTTGTGGGCGTGTCATTACCTCTGCGCCACTGCGATAACCAACCTCATCAGCGCCGAATGCCGGCGGCGATTTGTTTTACATTCTGTTGCCTCTCGAGACCGAAAGCCCCAACCATCTGACCCACTCAACCAGCCAACAAACCCACCAATCCACCATTCCACCATTCCACCTCCATAGCCATCCAACCACCCAACCACTTATCCGCACCACCTAGTTTTTCGGAGGTGCGTGTGCTTGTCAGTTCGTTTGCAACTCACAGCTCTCAGCCCACAAAAAATGGCAATCCCTTCTCCCAAAAAAAAAATATATAAAAAATATAAAGAAAAAGAAGAAAAAACATAAAAGCATCAAGCATATGCAACACGATTTTTCATGGAATATATCAAACATGGAAATTTGATTGGTTTCAGCTCTCAACAGATGCACCAGCATACAAAGTGCACTTGCCCTGCAATTTCTCAATGGCGTGAGTGAAAACCCAAAGTCGTCTAAAAATTGAAGGGTGAACGAATTGTTACGGCTGTTAAATACTCAATAATGATTCTGCGAAGATATAACGTTACTGGTTTTCAGGCCAAATCATCCAATGGTTTGTTTACTATAATATGTAAATCTTTATTTAGTCTTGGAAAATGTTCATATAACTAACAAATCAGTTAAAAGAACCGCGAGCTATCAAGTCATAGCGATCTTAAATATATAGTTTTAACCTAGGTCATGTACCTCCTACAAACTATAAATATGCAGAATTGAATTACCTTTTCAACCTCAGTCAGATATTCTCATATAAATGATTTGTTTTTATGGTTTGATATTTCGTATTAATTGCATATAGTTATGAGCACTTTGTTATCTATAAAAACTAGCAGGTAAAGCGATCCACAATTGTTTGTTATCAAGCGTCTTTCTTGCTTTAAACCACATTTATATTTGTTAAAATAGATCCGAATCGAAAAGTAAAAATACATATCCTGCTATTAAATAGTTTGCTTGAAATTAACTGAATTGTGTCTCATTTGGAGACTTAAATAGGAATGATTCTATAAAGTATTGCTTGTGTAATTAATAATGAATACTATTTGCTACAATTTAAAAGGAGTGTGTGGCTTAGCGAATGGCCTGTAAAATGATGTAGGGTATTCCCTGAGTCGACTGGTGGAGCCCTTTTTAACCCCTCACATTCTGCCACTTTGTCTCGGTCGTTCGCATACAGAACGCAATTTATTATGCAAAATCAAAATATGTTTGCCAACTCACACACGCACACACATACGAATATACGCACACACATGGAGAGAGGGGTGAAAGGTAGTGAAAGCGGCAGCTGCCAGGAGCAGGAATGCTGGAATTTTCGTGGCGAAGGCAGGAACCTTCGATGAGTTGGATTTTTCTCTGACCGACACCATCGTCCATTGTTGTTGTAGTTGTAGTTGTTGTTGTTGTTGGGGTCCCGGATATTTTGTATAAAATAATGTCAACAAAAATCCAATTTCCTTTCACCTTCCCGTTTGAATATTGCGCACACTTATAGGTACGCGACCAGCAGTCCAGGAAGTCGCGACTCGAGTCCTTAGCCAAGGATATTGTGAATGCAGGACGAAGGAGGAGGAAAAAGGGAGGGGGAGGGGGAGGGGTCGGATAGTGCTTAGTGGATGGGGGCTATAGAATGGGGAGTGGGTGGTGCCGAAGTGCACTTGACATTTTACTGGGATTTCGTGACGAAGGATGTGCAACCGCAGGAGCGAGTCCTGGCCAGGAATGGAATGGCAAGAAAGGGAGTGGAATGCATTTACCGCCCGACTGCACGTTTTCTGCTTGTTTAGTTAAGCGCCTCGGCGTGCAACGTACTACGTGCCATGCACTGCGAGAAAATACCGCGCCCCAACCAATTAGCATTCGCCGTCCGTGATCGCTTCTCGTTTGTAGCGAGTGAGAAATCGCCAGTTGGCTTTTATTTGTTCTACTCCGCTCAACTTGTTGCTCGTAACTGGGTTGAAGTCGCAAGGAAAAAACCTTTGTGGGGAGAAAACAATGTATTAATATTATCAAATATTTTTTGACCAGTTAGTCTAGTAAAATGATCTAGTAAATTAAACAGGAATTTATTTTAGAAACGCCTAAACCAAAATATTGGTCTCTGAAATAGATAAACCATGCAGTTGTGCCTTTTAAAGTTATTTATTATTAGTTCTATTATAAATATTAATATTAAAGAACAACATTTTTTTCGATTTTCAATAAAGAAGTATAAGGGAATGGAAAAATATATATGCAACTAAAAAAAATATTAAAGTAGTCACAACTCAGTAAGGCATCAATATAAACTGAATATTTTTAAAGGGAATAAGAAAATAAAATGCAATTCAAACTTGCCTCACTTATAATGAAAATATCCGTGTAATAACATAATAAGTCTTTTTAGAAACCATTTAATTTCGATGAAAAATCAACTTGCGGTCGATTTAGTTTTTGTCGAGAAAATGATTGGTATTTGTTTTCGTCATAATTTCGTGCGGCTTGGCTTCCGCTGCAGTTTACCTTTCGAGCGGCATATCCGCTCTCCCTTTTCCCTTTTCCTTTTTCCGCCGCACTTCATCTTGCCGGAAAATCAGGACGAAGGGGAAGGGGAAAACCGGAGAGGAAACTCAAGACTCGAGACTCGAGATTCGAGACGCTGCTCGCACACGATTATTGTGTATTGTTATAATAAAGTTCAGCTTCATTTCCTCTGCCGTTCGTCGGTGGTGCTTCCATTTTTCATGCCCCATGCCCCCATCTTCTGTGCTCCTATGCCCCTCGCCCCTTGCCCCTTGCCCCTTGCAGTCTGCAGTCGCAGTCCCGGTCTGAGGCAACTTCTGGGGAACCCGAGGCAGTTACCAGCCACCTGACCTTCGGAATCGAACGGGAACCGCCGGAGATGAGGTGCCATTAAATGGCTTGCGGTGGCGTGTCGCAGGCCCATTTCCCCATTTTTCCCACTTTCCCCGCTCCTGGCTTCCCTCTAAATTGTAATTTATTTCAATCTCATTTTAATAGATATTTATGCTTTGTTTTCCATTCGTCGTGCGGTGCTTTTAATGCTTACATTTCCGGACATTTCAATAAATTAAGTCTCCCCTTCGCTCTGTTCTGTTCTGTTTTGTTCTCTTCTGTCTTTTCCGCACTCGATTTGTTGACAGTTGCAAATGGAAATGGAATTGCCGGAACGGGAATCCGATTTTATGTGGCCTTACGGCTGTCCGATATTTGGAAAGCTAAACCTTAAGCATGTAGCAAATTTAATTCAACTTCTGGTTTCGAGGCTTTAAGTCAGTATTTAGCAGTTGAACTCGGAAAATCAAAAATAAAAGGAAAACATCTCAAGAAAAAAACATCTATACGAATAGATCCATAAACCATTCCTCAATCTTTTTTTCCTATTCTGGTTTAATTCTTACAATATCAGTTACTTTAATATTCTCAAAATTCATATGTTAAACAGGACATATCATAAGGCTGAAAAAGAAACAATCGAAAAAACTATAGCAAATGATTTTTTTATTGCCAATTGCATTTGTGCACAGTATTGTATAGAATTTATTTGAGGTCCCAAAGTCTTTACGTTCTTTGTCCTCAGCGGTATTTTCTTTTGGCCTTTCATCAAAAACCTATAAGAAGTCTGTTCTAAATCTTACTAATCCTTATAATTGATTTATACTAACCTAATGCTCGTCTACCTCCTTTTAGTCATTCATCCAATTTAAACTCCTTATTAAGGGAATCAGCTACCTTCGATCTCGAGCTTGCATTGCAGACAAAAATCATTTTTGACTTGAAAATGGATCCGGAGAGCCACAGTTCTGCGATTTCGGCCATTTCGTCAGTGGCAAACTCGATAAATCCTTGTCGTCCCAGAACCACAGATCCAGTAATTTTTCCAATCGGACTGCAATGTGCTTCCAGTTCTTCCCTGGTGCAATCCGGCAAATTGTGCAAGAATATCATGTTCTTTGTTTGATTCATGATTACAATTCCTTCGGAGTTTCTCCCTTAATTTGAACTGTCAAGCGAGAAAACTTTTATAAGTGTGACCAGAAATTGTGAACGGGGAAATACTGCATACTGAATTTCCTAGTTCCTAGTTTTACTATGCGTTATAGCCTACTTACACTATAATGGATTAGTCGAGTGATCCGATATCCCGGTGACTCCAGTTATTGGGATATGTCATACGGGTATTTGTTGCCCATTGTTTCAATAGAGTATCAACGAAATGGTCTCGTAAGTCTGAATGAGGTTATAAATCTCGGAGGTGAACCCAAGCAGTTTTGATTGCGGTTCGATTCGGAGTTCAAACCTACTTGCAAACTGTACTTTCGGTTCGTAAGCTGGGTTCTTTAAAGTTGTAAACGAGGTTTGGATTCGAACTGGGGTTTTTAAATACATTTCTGTTCTTTAAATGTCAATTTACTTCATTTTTCGTGTTGACATTAATGTGTTGTCGTGTATTGTCATTAATGTGTTTCACATTAAGATTTTTATTAAATTAATTCAATGCAAAACTGAAGTTCTTATTGATTTTGAAGCCCTAATTGTAAGTCAAGACACAATTAATGTTTCCCAGCACATAATTTTATAAAAGATCAACACATAATAGCACACGATTTTATATAATTTCAAGAATGATAAATCGTTTCCAGATCTTCGTACATGAAATGCTTTTTCAATAAGAAACATAATTGGTTTACCCTGCTCAAATGAGCTAATCAAACACACGAACCTCTCCCACTTTTTTTCGGTGACAGTTGAAAAATGTTTTCACGATTTAGTGCCAACAAGAGGCACTCAGGAAACGCGTTGCTTAAAAGCTTAACAAACTAACGTCTATTAAGGGGTTCGACGGAGGAGGCGTTGGCGGCAGGCCGAAGCTGAAGCGAATAAAAACTGGCAGCAAAGTGCTCCATTTTTCTTCGCGAAAAGAGCGACTCGACTCGCATTTAACAAGGAAATCACATTAGGCGTTGTTGTTATTGCCGGCGGGTTGCAGTTGCATTTGCCGTTGTTGTTTGTTTGCTAGTTTTGTTGCACGTGAAACGTCGACGGCAAAATGGGTGAAATGCATAAATCATTTGGCAAACAGGTGCTGCCAAAGAAAGCAAAAGGAAGCCAGCATCGACTGCAATTTTGCGAAGTACTCGTACCACGATGAGTGCAAGCACACGCATCCACACACATACACCTACACACACATCCATACACACATCCACCCATGTGCAAAGATGTCCTCGCCAGGGATGCCAAAATATAGAAGAAAACGACAAATTCCTTTTCGAAATATTTTTCAAGGATCAACCTTTCTGTTAACGAGTTCACCGACAATTAGTTTTGCCTTATGACTTGATGTTTTTGTAGTTCAAAATCGAAGTTTTTATTCATTCTTATAAAACGCTTTTGTCAAGTATGCGTTCTAACTTAAATAAAGTTTCCAATTATTTTTATTAGCACACACAAAATTTAAGATTCGTTTTATGTAATTTTCCAGAAGATATTATTAAAAATCCTTAACAATTTTCTTTAAGGTTATGACAATTGTTAGTCTTGCTGTTTTTTTTTCATTAATTTAAAATCAAGCAATCAAACATACCAAATATACAATATATTTAATATAAAAATTTGTTTGGTTGTGGATACTTTTTTAAGAAAGTAGAATTCACGATAACCAGTATTCTCGATTATCAGCTCTTAGACATTCATTTCAAAAACACGTGGTATATTTTTGAGCTTTTTTATTGTTTATCTTAGTCTTAGAATATGGCATAAATTTCGTATGTAATGTATATCAAGTGAATTGCTAAGAACATATTCATCTGGCTAAGAAAGAGTGCTGGAAAATGGCCAACTAAGCATCACTGTTCCTGGGGCAAGGATGCGAGCACTAAGTGTGCAGCTCCTTGTTGCTGCTCGTGCTCCTGCTCCTGCTCCTGCTCCTGCTGCTCTTCTCTACGTTGCTCTGCTGCACTGTGCTGTTGTGCACTTGCATAAGTCTATCAATAAATAATAAATTTTTACTTCATTGAATTTGCAAAAGCAATACGTTCGATAGACTCCTGGCCGAAACGCATCGCTCTCCTCTCCTTTTCCCTCCTCGATGATGGGGATGTTGTTGTTGTGCTCCTGCTCCTGCTCCTGATCCATTTTCCAGTTGCCATCGAGCCATAAATGATGCAGCTGCAGCTCCAGATGAAATCCTTCGCAACGGCTTGAAAATGTGCGAGCGGAATTTTTTCAAAAAATAATACCCTCCAAATGGGATTCCACTCGAATCGTTTATTGTCGAACGAAATAACTCTTCAAAGGGGAAAATAACCACACGGGTTTCTTCTTTTTCAGAGAAAGAAGCAAATGGCATTTTGGAAGCGTTAGACATTAGGTTTCTTAAACATGGGGTTATTCCTTAACATTTTTCGGAGAAAGGAAGCTTGTATTTTTCTAGGGGCATGAATGTGTTTACGTATACGAATATAGAAGTTTAAATGTTCATTCAAAGGAGGCTTTTACTTGGATGGCAGAGATTAAATGGTTCAGGTCACTTTTGGTAATGCTTATTTCCAAAAATGCATAAAACAATCTAGTTCTCTGTATATTAAGTCTATACCAGCTCTATTAGGTTGTTATTCAGTTATGATTAAGTATTGGGGCTAGAAAAAAGCTGGTTTAAATGAAACAACTATTAAATAGGTAATAAGGAAAAAACATCATTATTTTTTTTTAGTTTATTATAATATTTGGGGCCTATTTCGGTGGAAGTAATGCTAATTTGAATGGCCAGTTGCTATGTAATTGACTGTTGGTTGTGCTCCCCATGTGGACTTCCTCCTAATCACATTCAGGACCTTCGGAGCGGGCACCCTCCATGCAGGGATATGGCTTGCATATGATATTCTTGGGCGCCGGCGCAGCCTGATCCGCTCCTGTTCCCGTTCCCGTTCCCGCTGTTCCAGCTGCTCCTGTTGCACCTGTTCCCGCTGCTCCTGTTCCCACCGCTCCTGTTCCCGCTGCTCCTGTTCCGGTTGCCGTTCCTGGTGGACCTGATTCCACCAATCCGGCGGCGGCTGCCAGCACCTCCGAGGGGCTGTAAATGTTGACCATGCTCACGATGAGCATCCCGCCCGCATTTCCACTCGGAACGGTTTGGTTCTCCTGTCCTTCCGCGGGGGCCGCCGTTCCCGGTGCTCCAGATGCTCCAGCTGCTCCTGGCTTCACTGCCGAAGTGGAAGCGGTACCGGAAGCGGAGGCGGTGGCGGTGCCACTGGCCTGTCCCTCCGGCGGCGGACAGTTGGGGGAGCACTGCTGGCCGGGCGCCTCGGCAACCGCACACGCCTTACTCGGATGCGGACCAATGTAGAACGGGTTGAAGGGAACGTCGTCCGACATGGCGAATGCGCAATGTGCGGAATATACGGAAAATGCGGAGAATGCGGGGAATGTGGAGAACGGCCAAGAGGGAAAAAGTCGAGAACACGAAGGAGGTTAGCCACACGGAGAAATTTTGAATTTTAGTCTGTTTTCCGAACTGCTCTTGGTGAAGTCGGCCCCAAAACTGAACGGAATCCCCAAACCGAAAGCCTAAACCCCTTGAGGTTCGCCACGGAGCCTACTGGTGACAGGTTTTTCGGGGATTTTTATAGGGGCCAACTCTCTATTCTCTGTCGATTGGGAAATAAAAATTGTACATTTGCATCTCCCCTTGCGTTGAAAAAAATACTTATTTTGGTTTTTCCCCATTTTGCAAAACTAAGAGTTTATAGGAAATTTTATAAGCTAAAGCTAAAGAAGGTCATTGTAGAATTAAACTGAACAAATTGTTAAGTTGAAAAACTTTTTATATATCTTTTATATTTACATATGCAATTCTTTTAAATTTATAAGTTTCAAAGAAATAAGGTTTTTTTAAAAAGAAAAACAAAATAAAAAAAAAAAAATTTCTTCAAGAAGAGTACTTGAGAAAGCAAGTTTTTCGCTAGATAAAAAAATTTTTTTAAGGGACATCAATGTGGGATCGAAACTATAACGAACTAAAAGTTAATTTAATTTGACCACTTAAAATTACGAATTATTTGAATGCAAAAAGCCTTCATGAATGAACAAATGTTTATTAAAATATTTATCACTTGCAATATCATTATGCTGAAGTAAATATTATTCAATAAAATAACATTTTGTTTGTGCTAATTCTCCTGCATCTCAACAAATTTACACGGCATTTATTGCCCCAATTTACTGAGGAGGCAATTGTCTAGTTTTGTGTATCATATAGTAAATAGGATTAAAATAGGATAACAAAGGCGCTTACAAGAGCTTAATAGTTCCCATACGCACACACACACACTCACGCACGCCTACTAACTAACACACACATATGCAACGCTGCTGAAGTGAAATATTGTTAACTTCCTGAAATTAGTTTTCTTTGTTATATATGTTCTATTCCGATCAAATCAAGGTAATTAAAGAAACAAATAAAATTTGGAGTTTCTAAATAATTCTTTGGGTTTTATTGAAATGTTTGTTTTTTAATTGAGTTTTATAAGGCACAAAGTAATTATATTTATTAATAAAAAAAATAAATAAAATTTGATCTTTAACCATTTCAGTATGTTTATGAGGTTTTTATAAAATTTAGGAGTGTATTGTGCAAATATGTTCAGTTCTTTTTAATTATTAACTAGGGTATTGCATACGTTATACAACAATTCAAAAACATTTAATTTAACCATAAAACAACTTAAAATTTTAATATAAAACTGTATGAGGTTTAGATATTTTTGCCAGAATCTTGACATGGATTTCTGCATTCCAAAAGTTCAAGCTTAAAATCAAACGTTCCCGCTAGATTTGTTAGTTGCCTTTAAATATCTTTTGATCGGAATAGAAGCCAGCGCATTAGTATCTGAATTCTAACGTATTTTGCTCGATTTGATCGCCTCCCGCAGATGCCGCGCCGCTTAACCCCGCTTTGCTTAACCCACCACCGCCGTAACCATGTAAACGTGTCCAACATGCCACTAAAACCACTAAAACCAGCCAGCGATAACTAAAGCGGAGTAAGGAGGATCGGGATCTGGAAAAGGATCCAGGATCTGCTGGAGCAGGAGCAGGAGCAGGAGCCACAGAATACACTGAGAGAAACGCGATGGCCGGACCGCAGGTGCAGCACAGCCAGCGACCGAACAGCGCCTACTACACGGGTCTCAATGGTGGTGGCTCCAGTGGAGGTGGAGGAGGAGGAGGAGGGAGTGGTGCTGGTGGATCCTCCGCTGGAATGGCAAGCAGTGCATCGCACACCGGATTGCACGCCCTGCGGCAAGTGAGCAACGAAACGGAGCTGATCTACCGGGGAAGCCACAGCAACGGAACGGTGAACGAGCTGCCCTCGAGTGCCCAGCACCACCTGCTGACGGGTCGCGTGGTGCAGCACCACCAGCAGCACCACCACCAACATGGCCAGGGTCACTTGCCACAACAGCAGCACGTGAGCAGCATCGCCGGCACAGGTTCCAGTGTCACGGATGCCCTCATCGGCACCACCATCACCGGTGGTTCCAGTGGTGGTGGTGGTGCAGGTGGTGGTGGTGCCTCCGGCAGCAGTTGCTCCACCTCGGCACCAAAGTTGGGCATCAAGAAGTCCAGCACGCAGCGCAGCATCGAGATCATCGTGGATGCCAGCCAATGTGGCAAGGAGCTGGTGGCCAGTGGATCGGGAGCTGCTGGTGCAGGTGGTGGCTCCACTCTGGACGCGGAGGATGTGGAGCAGGGCGGTGGCCAGGAGTCCTCCTCCTCGCACCGCAAGTCGTCGCGCCATCGCCATCGGCCGCTCCACCGGCGGCTGATCACCTATCTGCGGAACCTCTTCCAAGGGAGCACCACCCAAAATGGTAAGCTAGCTCCATGAATGTGGGTGGGTCTGCATCCACATGGGCATCTCATGCACCTCCATTGGGGCAACCGCTATCATTGCAAGCGAGTTTAATAGACACGGAAGGGTTATAATTCTCAGTTGAGTTATATAATATATGAGATTATGTAGTAAAACTATTGTTTTAGATGCAAACATGTTTTTAAAAGTACTTAATGCGCTTATGCGTGAACCATTTAAGGTAATCATTTTATGAAGTGAAAAAACAATGTTCAGGAAAATATACACACACTTTAGTTTTCCCAATTTTATTTAATGATCATATCCAAAAATTATGACATGTTGCAACTAAAAGTATCGTTTATAGGTAAAATTGCAGATGTTATTACTGGCCTTTGTTAAAAACAATTCGTTGAATTGAGCTTAGGAATTTAAAAAAAGTTAATATTTAAATATGACTGTGTAAATTTTTATATTATACTAAAACATTCAAAGTGGTTACTATGGTTCTGTAGTATTTTCTTAAATTTTGTAGTATCGTAGATATCGTAGAGTTTTTATATTCCATACACAGTTTTTCCTTTCAACATAAATATACTCTTGTTCATAATATAATTTAATTTAGTTTTTATCTTGGGAGCTTTTACAAATCTTACATTTTTATGTAATATTATTAAGAAGCCTGTTAATCAGCGTTTTAAGTTCCAAATTAACGAAGGAAGGAGTTGAAAACTTTCCAATATTCTCCCAATTTATTTAAGTTTATTGGCATTTTTCCAACTTGTTTCGGTTTTCCCTTGTTGCGGAGTTTCGAGTCTCATAAGTAAATCATCCCGCACTCTCAGTTTTTTTCTCACCGATTCTCGCCTGTCATCTCGCACCTTTTGATTTATTCTTTTTTACGTGTACTCAATATATTTTCTTCCTTTCGATTTCTGTTTTTTTGTGTAGCGCTGAGAACTCTGCTGGTTGCCTGGGGCTGTATCGCGAAGCGTAAGCGGCAATGTCTCTACTTCTAAGTCCCCCCTTTTAACCCTTTGTACCTCCTGAACTCCCCTTTAACCCCACGCCGCCTTTAACCCGATTGTTTCGCCGTTGGCCATGATGACTAACCCCTGCCAAAACGTGCTAACCACTTTCAGTTCGGGTCAATTCATGGCCATGAATCCACAGCCGTTGGCCTGGCCAACGCGTTGCAGATATTTTTTGCGCATCTTGAGTTTGGCAGGCGGGAAAAAACGCTCGTAAAACGCGCTTGCGGTTCCGCGGCTGTTTTTGTCGCCCTCTCGAAATTTATGCATGGCGAACATTTTCTTTTTTGTTTGCGGGCGGGAAATCATCGCAGCAGCCTTGAATGGCTTTTCTATTGAAAACCTATTAGGCGTTTGCGTTTGTGGTTGTGTTTTGGTTTGCATTTGTGTGGGTTGGGTGAACACTTTGGGGTGACTCCTAAATTGGGTTTCGGTTAGGATTTGATTTAATTTTTTTAATCCTGCGAAATGTATTTTTAGACTTAAAGGGTACCAAAACAATGCATCCTAAAATGAAAACCTTTTTTTACGACTGGAGTGTTACCAATTGAATTAACTTTGCTGAAAAAAAAACAAATAATAAAGAGAGGCTTAAAAACAAAAAGGAAAACCATATGCACAAATCAAGTATTGTATTTAAGTATTTTAGTAACTCTAGTAAGTCTTTTCAAAATTCAACCTATTAATTTATAATATTATATTATTAAAATTATGAAAACTTGAACAACATGACGAATGAGTAATAAATCCAATTACTCATACGCAGTGTTGGCCTTTTTTCGGGTAAAGTTTCTTAAATTTTTTATGTATAATCGAGTAAAAGTAAATGCATAAAACACGATATCCCATGCAGCCATGAGCTTATGGCTTCCTTGTAATCCATCAAATTCGGATAGGTTTTTTTCGGTGACCATTGAAGAGATTGCCGAGAAGAGAAACTTTCGCATTGTTACTTTTCAATTCGAATTGATTTGATTTGATGCGAAGAGCAGCGAAAGCCTTCGCTTAACCCTTTTGTGTGTGCTGTGTCTTGCATGATTAATTATGGAAATTGATGGGGCTCCGGCATCTGAGCTCCCAACTCGAGATTGCATTGATTGTTTACGGCTCAACTATGCGACCCCTTTGGCTCGCTTTCGTGTTTGGTCCTGCTCCTTGGAAGTTCACTCAGCCGGCGAGTCCTTCGAGCAGCTTCTTTTGTCAATTTCCTCCTCCTGCGCTCCAGCCTTCAGCTTCCAGATTTCAGCTACCAGCTACCAGCTACCAGCCTCATCCTTGCTCATTCTCGTTTTTGTCTGTTCCGCTTAGGTCCCATCCATTCGGTATTTTTCCTCCACCCTCCTCCGATTTTCCCAAACCTCCATTTCCCCTTTTTCCCCAATCCCTCAATTCGAAGCAGTTGGCAAAATGATGAGCTCAACATAAAAGTTGCATGGCTCATCCTGAAAATTGAATGCAGGAGCGGCTAAAGAGGAAATCGATATGGAACACAATATAATATTTGTTTGTCAGTGCTTCAAATTGAATGCTTTGCACGGAGAGAAATCAAGTTTGATCTAATAATTATAGGTTAATGCTTAATAAACACATGATCAACCAAGTACTGTCCAATATGATTCAAGTTATATTCTTTTTTTAAGAAGATGAAATAATAAATAATAAAAT